ATAAAATTTAAATATATATATAATTTCTACCTGTGTTACTAGAGAGTGATTATAGGGACTAGAGCAAAAGATTGAGCCCTGGAATTTTATTATTTAGAGAAGGGGGAGCAAGGAGAGGAAAATCTACAAAGGAGTCTGAGAAGTGCCCATATGGTAGGAGAAACCAGGAGAACACATTATATGGAAAACCAAGTGAGGAAGATGTTTCTAGGGGCTGGGTGATCAATTGCTGTTAGAGGTTAAATAAAATGAAAAATGAGAGTTGACCACTGACTTAGACAAGATAGTGATAGTTGGTAATCCAACAAGTATTTTCAGTGAAATGGGGGTGGGGGGATGGAGGTGTGAAGCAGAGATAGGTTCAATTTTTGCTATGAAGAGGAGCAAAGTACCTGTAGATGAATATAAGAAGTAGGAAAAGTTTTGAAAAAACAGGCATTCTTTAAGAAAAAATCTTATTTATTAATATTTCTATACTAAAAGGTTCTACTATTCCCATAATACCTCTTTTGTACCCATAATCTGTCCCATTCATATTTGTTAATCTTTTCTATTAATATTAAATATATACAATTGATCATCATTATTATCAGATTCCATATTAGCACATTTGCCTACTTGCAAAAATTTATTTGAAACCCCAAAATCAGACCTCATGGCATTTTTGCATCATTCACAAACATATGCAGAGTGGCACAAATTTGGGTAACCCAAAGTGCATGTTCCCAGCTGAGGTGATCAAAGCTATACCCTGCCTTTTTGTTTCAGCTCTAATATCATAAACAAGAGTCATTTTCACAGTCTATTTAGTGCCACATTTTTTACATTTTTATCCTTTTTGGAGGGTGATTTTGCTATTTAACACATTAACTGCCATGTGAGTTGTATTTAATTCACACTAGTTTTGAGCCCAGGGCCTTGTGAAGCATCCTCTTGCTTCACACGTATGTAACTCACACGTCTCTTTACCTTGAGGAGCCACGTGAACTATTTTTCTTTTTTTTTTTTTTTTGAGACAGAGCTTCACTTTGTTGCTCAGGCTAGAGTGAGTGCTGTGGTGTCAGCCTAGCTCACAGCAACCTCAAACTCCTGGGCTCAAGTAATCCTCCTGCCTCAGCCGAGTAGCTGGGACTATAGGCATGTGCCACCATGCCCGGCTAATTTTTTTGTATATATATTTTTAGTTGGTCAATTAGTTTCTTTCTATTTTTAGTAGAAGTGGGTCTCGCTCAGGCTGGTTTCAAACTCCTGACCTTGAGGGATCCACCTGCTTCAGCCTCCCAGAGTACTAGGATTACAGGCGTGAGCCACCACGCCCGGCCTTTTGTTTTTTACAAGTTGCATAAAACTCATGCACAGTAAACAATAAAAAATAACAAAATTTTCATTAAATTAGAAAAGATTGTTTTTGAAGTTTTTATTCCATTTTCCTAATAAAACACCATGTCCCCAAAGAAAAAAGTTTTTTTATAATGTGGCAGTCAATGTGTTAAAATGTTCCCCAAGCATAGTGCTAAAGTGCTCTCTGGAGTTCCTAAGAGCAAAAACACTGGGCTGTGCCTTATGGAGAAATATATGTGTTAGATAAACTTCATTCCGGTGTGAGTTGTAGGGCTGTTGGTTATGAGTTCAGTGTTAATGAATCAACAATATGTATATAAAATAACATGTTTTTAAACATAAAAAAAATACAAAAGGTTATATACCGAATGGTTGACAAAAATGTTGTGACCGGGACTCTAATCCTGTATCCCCCAGGAGCAGTAGTTCAATTGTCAGTAAATCAGTGTTCTCAGTGACTTTATAGAGCATAGCTGCTGCAAATTAAAGAGAATCCACCCTGTAGATTTTTTTAAAAGAAACTTCTATGGAAAATAGTATGGAGATTCCTTAAAGAACTAAAAGTAGACCTACCATTTGATCCAGAAATCCCACTACTGGGTATTTACCCAAAGGACAAAAGGTCATTTTTATCAAAAAGACACTTGTGCTAGAATGTTTATCACAGCACAATTCACAATTGCAAAGATGTGGAATCAACCCAAGTGCCTATCAATTCATGAGTGGATTAATTAAATGCGGTATGTGTATACCATGGAGTACTACTCAGTCATAAAAAATGAATTAATACCTTTTGCAACAATCTGAAGGTCCATTCTCCTTAGTGAGGTATCGCAAGAATGGAAAAACAAACACCACATTTACTCATTATTAAATTGGAACTAACCGATCAGTACTCCTGTACACAGATGGAAGTCAAACTCAACAGAAATCATGCAGGTGGGAGGATGGATGAGGGGTTGGGTGAAATCACACCTAACGGGTACAATGTATACTATATGGGTAATGGGCATACTTATAACTTTGACTAAAGCAGTATAAAAATCAAGCCATGTAATCAAAATATTTGTAGCCCTGTAATATTCTGAAATAAAAAAATAAATTTAAAAAATTAAAATTAAAAAGAATTTTTAAAGGAATCTGCATTTCAAGAAAAAAGAAAGTATCGGTGTGATAGAAAAGGCACTAGACCCCAAATTTTGAGACCTTTGTTCTAGTTTTAATTCTTCCAATAATTGGTTGTGTATACTTCAGCAAGTACGCAGGCCTCACTTGGTTTCTTCATCTATGAATGTATTACATAGCTCTTTAAATTAGATTAATGCTAAGGCCCCTAAAGCCCTAGCATTCCATGGACTTGAATCATCAGTAAGGGAAATTCCCAAAAATAGTCTCTTCCCAGTGAAGTCTCCCCTTTACTTTAGAGCAAACCACCCTGCTCCATATGAGCCATCAGGGTGGGAATAATGACCTTACAATAAGACAAGAAGTAACCACTGTGTTCTACAAAGTGCCACAGAGATTAAGTAAAATACACTGATCAAAAAAATCTGGGAAGATTTCCCAGGAAAAGAGTTGCTTATGACTTTGGAAGTCATACCAAAATAACAGTACATGTCACATTAAGAAATAGATATTAATAAGGGATTTTAAAAGAAAACAGCCACAGTAGACTTAAATATGGTGCAGCCTTCTGATGACAGCTTTGAGTGCAGAGTGCCAAAATACAGCCAGACTGAGTGAGGTATGGGCACATTACTAAAAATACAAGGAGAGGACAGTCAGGTGGCAACCTGAATTCACACTCAGGGGTTTTAATATAAGAAGCAAAAAAGTCATTTACAACTCTTTGCTAAAGGATGAGGCTCTGCTAAGTGTTAAGAATATAGGTCCATATGTGTAATGACAGAAGGTGACTATCTTATGGAGGGTGTGAGGGGGCAGGGAGGGGATTGAAAAATGAAACGAATTCTTTACATAATTTGGCTTTTTTGCTTTATTAGAAAAACTTTTATTAATAGTCACTTGAAAAATCAGAAGTAGAATTTTTTTAAATAGTTTTTTTCCTCAGTAGTCTTTGGTGTGGGCTTTGATATTGGGTTGTTGGAGCTCTACATTCCATCATGGTCTTTGGCACAGGGTTGTGCTGTTTTTGCAGCACTAGAAGTGGGGTTTACCAACTGGTCTGTATCAGTCATAGTTGTAGCAGGAAATAGATGGCAAAAGCAAAATTAGGATTAGTCCAGGAGGGCTTTCAACAGGACCGTTGAAGAAAGAGTATAGAAAACTACAAGGGGTAGTGCAGTCCTCCTGGACTAGTAATAGTGGAACTGTCACCACCACTGGCTGGAAGGGACCAGAGAAGGGAAGAGCTTCCAGATTCTGGGTTTCCACATCCTGGAATTAGAGCGACACAATGAGAAGGTCACCTTGAGAGGAACAGGGACACTTGGCCAATCCTCAGCCAACCCGAGACAAGTCTACAGGAGGGGAACTAAGGGAATAAATCCTTGACCCTCTGATGGCTTGCCTGTGTTCCTCACTGCCCAGGCAGAAGCCATGGAGTAAGATGCTCAGGGACAGACAGAAGGATCTGAAAGGACTCCAGGCAGATTTAGAGGTAAAATTACCTCTAACTTCATGGTAGAGGTACTCTGAATACACATATTAATCAAAAAAATGAATGGTCACGAATAAAAATCAGTATCTAGTCAAAACTAAAAATCATCATAGAATGAACCTTAGGATACATGAACAAATATGAAATTTTATTCAAAATTGGTTAATTTTCCAATTTGTATTAGTCCAATTTTAATAGGGCAAGATAAACAATATTTCAGAACTGTCAACTACTAACTTGGCTCCTGCTGTCACCGCACCATTTGGGCTACTAAATAAATAGGTATTCACTTCAACTGGCACTTTTAATAATACCACCAATCTTTTTATATGCAAAAAAATATGTACTTCAGAAAAATATTTTGAGTAGCATGTTTTCTAGAAGATGCCTTATGCTTAGAGTATACCATTATCCTTCAGCTTCAAACACTGAAAAGGGTTCTCAAACTATAAGAATCATTGTAATAACTTTTTAAAAAATGTATAGTCTCTGTGTTAGATTCCCAGGGCCGCCATAACAAAGTGCCATAAACTAGGTGGCTTCAGTCAATGTAGATTTGTTCTCTCACAGCTCTGGAAGAAGAAGTCTGAAATCGAGGTTTCCGCAGTTCCATGCTCTCCCTGAGCCTCTAGGGAGAGTAATACTTCTTTGACTCTTCCTGGCTTCTGGTGGTTGCTGCCGATCCTTGGCGTGCCTCTGCCTCTGTCATCGTGTGGCATTCTCCCCTCTGTCTTCTTATAAGGACACCAAGTCATATTAGATTAAGGGCCCGCCCTACTGCAGGATGACCTCATCTTAACTAATTACATCTGCAAGGACATGATTTCCAAATAAGGTCACATTCTGAGGCACTGGGGTGAGGACTTCAAAATATCTTTTTAGGGGACAAATTCAAACTGTAACCGTTTCCACAGATTCAAAATAATAGAGAACTTCTTCTTAAATCATTCTCTAATGTAGTTTTATAGTATAGTGAGAACAAATGTGTTTAGAGTTCATTTTTCTCCTTTTTGTCACCCTCTTTTTTATTCTTTATTAGGGCTGGACCTTGAAGTTAATTCACCATGAGTGCTATTTTACTTGATTTAGGACATTTTCCTTCACATAAAAATTTAAGTTTATACTACTGTCACCTCTGGTCAAGATGGAATAATAGAGACCATATTTATCCTTCTGCTTGAAAATCTAAAACACCAGACAAAATATATGAAATATTTTTCAAGACATTAGACATCAAGAAACACTTGATCCTTAAGAAGTGGGAAACAAATGAGGTGAGTCTCCAATTGACCCAGTTTACAACCTGGAGAGAGTTTCCAAGACATGGTGCAGGGAAAGTAAAGCCAAGTAGAGCCAAGATTTGCCCGAGTCAAGGAGACAGGAGGGGGATAATCTAGCTGAAAGACCTCTTCTAGTAGTCATATTAACTGTCAATCTACTTTCTTGTTTATAAAAATATTTGAAAGTTCTTAATTGTTTTTAATTCATAAAATTGATATTCTTATAGTCATTGTTAATTATTAGTGTTCATTTTAGTCTGGCATTAATAAATGCACATTTATACTTTGATAGAATTTCAAAATATAAGGAGATGGTTTTTCTTACTAAAAGTTATACCTAAAATGCTTACCTATATTTGAAAGTAAGGATCTAGATATTGACAATAATTTAAATATGTCTTGCTTGTAATATACCATTATTAGATTGATTTGATATTAAATAAACTTACTGAAGCACACGATTATTGATCCTAAACACATTCAGGGATGCCAGGAATGACACTGATGTCTACCTATGTTGATTTGTAGTGGCTGAAATCAAAACCTAATGACTAAATTGGGCCAAATACCAAGACAAAAGCCAAAGCATGGGGTATCCTAAAAAGGGAATGAGAATCAGATTGGCTTTGGACATTAGAATAACTTGATTCTAGAAATAAATAGAGCCATACTTTTAAAAGTCTAAAGGAAAACTATTTCGAATTTAGAATTCTACCAAACTCAGAGGAGTAATTTTGAGGACAAAAATGAAGATATGTTCATGTATGCAATGATTCAGATGCTTTACATCTCATGCCCACTTTCTGAAAACATTGAGGATGGGCTCCAGCAATGTAAAGAAGGAATCCAAAAAAGGGTAAAGCCATGAGAGTTAAGGAACAGTGAAGAACTCAAGGGTTCAGTGAAAAAAATAATTCCAAGATGACAGCTGCACATCTGGCTCAAAAAACAATATGTCCAAAATTAACCATCAATAATGTTTATCTCCTCTTAACATCAGACATGAATAAAATATTACAGACAATTTTGATAATAGAATGAGATGTAAATGTTACAAATTATAAAGAGGTAAAATTGATAGTTTTTTTTTTTTTTTTTTTTGAGACAGAGTCTCGCTTTCTTGCCTAGGCTAGTGTGAGTGCCGTGGTGTCAGCGTAGCTCACAGCAACCTCAAACTCCTGGGCTCAAGCAATCCTACTGCCTCAGCCTCCCGAGTTGCTGGGACTACAGGCACGTGCCACCATGCCCAGCTAATTTTTTATATATATATATTAGTTGGCCAATTGATTTCTTTCTATTTTTATAGTAGAGACGGGGTCTCGCTCAGGCTGGTTTTGAACTCCTGACCTTGAGCAATCCGCCCGCCTCGGCCTCCCAGAGTGCTAGGATTACAAGCGTGAGCCACCGCGCCCGGCCTAAAATTGATAGTTTAAGAGAAGCTGAGGGAAAAAAACACAGCAGGTAGAGGGGAGGTGAAGGCAAGCGAGGGAGGTTAACTTCTTCAAGAAATTATAAGAAATTCAAATTTGATAGATCAAAAAAAGAGGTATAGGTATTTTTTTCTTAAATGGTAAAGTAAATAATAGAACAACCAAAAGATAAAGTTTAAATTAACAGAAATTGAAAGACACTGAGAAGAGAGAATATAAGTAAGCCAAAATTCTCATCTTTCAGAGCTGGAAAACAATAGATATAGATAAAATTGATAAAGAAAGAAATAAAAATGTATACAATTCTTTAGAATTACGAAGGTAAAGACCAAAAAGGTGAGAAAAGAAAGAATTTTTAAGTGTTACTTCTGTAAGAGTTGAACTGTAGTTTGGGAACACAAATGGACACGCTGATTTTTCCTTTTACACGTTTGAGTGCTGTGTGAATTTTCACGTCCATGGGTATTGTTAAAGTAAGTTAAAATGGAGACCAGACTTAAAGAATCCCTGAGCAGACAAAGCCAGTTAGGCCTCATAAATGACCTTCACCTTGTTTGATCTACAAACATAAGCAGAACTTCACTTGGGCTACTTCTTGTAAATGCCTATATTTTAAAAAATGAAACTTAGGCTCAACAAATCAGAAGCCACCAACTAACTTACATAACTAGGGGCTTTCCAAATAAAGCAACTATATAACTGTAACCAATCAAATATTTCCTTTGCTTTCCTTCCCGGTTCATCCCATAGTCTTCCCCTTGTGTTCTCTCAACTTCTGGTTTGGAGCTGTCTGATTCATGAATCACTGCTCCGATGAACTCTTTAAAATTTTATTGTGTTAGTTTACTTTTTAACTGCATATTTTACTTCTGTTGTACATTTCAAAGTAGGAATTTTTAAAATATCTTCACTAGAAAAAATGGTGCCTAAGATAGATATAACACTGTGTGTACTACCAAGTTTATTAAAACAAAGTATGAATATTTATTTTTCATACTGCCCTTTATTATTCATTTATAGTGATATCACATTGTATTTATAATCAGAAGGAAAATGTACTTTTTCCTCTGATTACAGCATGTAATTTAGAACCTGGTCCCCACACTGAAAAGAGCTCTCCACTTCCTGTTGGCATCTGTCATCTGAATATACGTCATATTGTGGAAACAAAGCAGACTTTTGACAACCAATGTAACCTGCATGGATATAAAAGCCCTCCTACTCCTCGTGGAGTGGCTCATGGTACCAAATCATATCAGGATTCAGTAACTTCACCAGAAAAAAAATACTTAGTTCAAATATTATTGGGTCAAAGTTCCTCTCAAAATTCCTGAATCATTTTTACCTAAAATGTTTCTAATATATAGTTGACCCTTGAACAACATGGGCTTGACCCATGCAGGTCCACTTATAAACAGATATTTTTCAGTAAATGTATTGGAAAAGTTTTTGGAGATTTGCAACAATTTGAAAAAAAATCAAAGATGAACCATGTAGCCTAGAAATATCGAAAAATTTTTAAAAAGTTAGGTATTTCATGAACACATAAAATATATGTAGATACTAGTCTATTTTATCATTTACTACCATCAAATAAACACAAATCTATTAAAAAGTTAAAATTTATCAAAACTCACACAAACACAGACGGTACATGGCACCATTCACAGTTGAGAGAAATGTAAACAGATATAAAGATGCAGTATTAAATCATAAATGCATAAAATTAACTATGGTACATACTGTACTACTGTAATCATTGTGTAGCCGCCTCCTGTTGCTATTGTGGTGAGCTTCAGTGTTGCCAGTATCTGCTTGAAACGCCACCATGTGACCCTCATCATCTCTGAGTGAGCAGCTCCGTCTTTCCAGTAAATTTAATATCGCAGTAAAAAGTGAGCTTGTGTATTTTTCATCATGTTTAGTGCAATAAACCATGAATAACACCATGGGACCCACACAAAGTGCCACTAGTGATGCTGGAAGTGCTCCCACGAAGCAGAGAAAAGTCATGACATTCCAAGAAAAAGTTGAATCGTTGGCTACGTACCGTAGATTGAGACCTGCGGCTGTGGCTGCCTACCGCTTCAGACAGTTCATTTATCTTGTAAACAGATGATGCAAACTTATGGTATCGATAAATACAATACAGTGCTGTAAATGTATTTTCTCTTCTTTATGCTTTTCTTAATAACATTTTCTTTTCTCTAGCTTACTTTATTGTAAGACTACAATATATAATACATATAACATACAAAATATGTGTTTGCCTACTGTTTATGTCATCAGTAAAACTCCCAGTCAGCAGTAGCCTATCAGTAGTTAAGTTCTGGGGGAATCAAAAGTTATACTTGGACTTTTGACTGCACAGGGGTTGGCACCTCTGATCCCCAGAGTTGTTCAATAGTGAACTATTAAATATATTATGTTTTCAGATACTAAAAAATCCCACATAGGCATTTAACTATTAAAAATAAATTTGGCCAGGTACAGTGGCTCATACCTGTAATCCTAGCACTCTGGGAGTCCAAAGCGGGAGGACTGCTTGAAGTCAGGAGTTGGGAGACCAGCCTGAGCAAAAATGTGACCCTGTCTCTACCAAAAATAGAAAAAATTAGCTGGGTGTGGTGTGTGCCTGTAGTCCTAGTTACTGGGGAGGCTGAGGCAGGAGGATCACCTGAGCCTAGGTGTTTGAGGTTACAGTGAGCTATGATAACACCATGGCACTCTTACCCAAGGCAACAGAGCCAAGACTCTGTCTCCAAAAAAAAAAAAAAATTATTCTCCTTCCCAAACCTCACATTTCCTCATAAAAAATATAAACAACATCCTCTAAACATGCACGTTACCATGTAGATTGTGAAAAAGATTTTAAAAGTCTCTCTTTTCTTTTAAAAACATTTTAAAAGAATCTCATTTTTAGTGCACCTTATTTTAACCTTGAGTTTCCAAATATTTGATGCTTAATGTCTGAAATAGAGATCATTTACAAAACCATACAAACAAACTTTACTAGGTAGTTTGTCACTGTAGGCAGTCTTTATGTCATGGCACTGAAGGGGACAGGAATGATCCTGTCTTCCCAAAACACACCCACTATTAATTCTCAACATTCTTGTGAACTGAGCAGCAAAAATGCAAATCTAGTAAGTCTACCCACCACCAATACCTAAGTGTAAATTACATTCTCCTTCTTTCCAAATGGACGTTCCCACTTTAACGGGAGAAAGAAACTCTCCAGGTGAAACAACCCTTGGCTGAGGAGCACTAGGTAGCCCGTGCTGGCACAGGAATGCTGGGAGGCTGCAGAGGATGTGCCTGTCCAAGGGCAGGGAGGGCCATGGGTGCAGGGACAGGGACAGCAGAAACACACCTCTGGGTCCCGGTGAAGCTGTCACACCAGCCCTGCACACCTGGCTTCAAACCTTTTTTAATCCAAGCAAGAAATACCTTGTTTGGGCCATTGTTATTTTGTGTTGTATATATGCTGTATATATGCAGCCAAACCCAGCCTCACATGATACACAAGCAATTATCTCATTTAATCATCCCTACAAGGGAAAGCACCCCCAGGAGATGCATAGTATCATCACCTTT